CTTTGGACAGGTAAAACCAAGATGAGCTTGTACCAGAATGATACGAAGGCAAAGGTCTGGAGAAGCAGTGAACCAGCTAATTATGTGAAGAATATCACATCATCTTTCAAACATGTAATGTTATGACATGGGCATGAATGGCTGCCGGTGGAACCGGATCACTGGGATTTAAAGACTGAAGCTGACAGAAGCAGCAGGATGTGCTGTGAAGTGTTCAAGGCTGTACTCTTTGCTCAGATTCAGCCAAATACTGTAAAAGTGATTGGACAGAGCTTCACAGAATGGATGAATAATGACCCAAACAAACATTGATATGAGGCCCAGTAGGCATCCTTGTCAGATGCCAGAACCACCTCAACTGGCTCCTTTTGATGTGGAGGAGTATCACCTCTACTCTGAGCCCTCTGACTGAACTCCTCATCCTATCTCTAAGGGAGAGGCCAGCCACCCTTCAGGGGAAGCTCATTTCTGGCACTTGTATCCAAAGTCTTGTTCTTTTGGTCCCTACCCACAGCTTGTGACCATAGGTGATGGTAGGGATATAGATTGACCGGTAAAGAGCTTTGCTTTTACACTCAGCTCTCTCTTCACCACAACAGACGTGTACAGCTTCCACATCACTGCAAACAAATAAAGGAACCCAAGAGTTTCTCAAAGGAAAGAAATGGACAAGTCACTCCCCTGATCTCAACCAACAGAGCAAGTTATTCAGGTATTAAATGGAAAACTGAAAACAGAGACACCCACAAACAAGCAACAACCAATGGTGGCTGCAGCAAAGAGCATCTGAAGTCCATGGGTTCTAGACTTCAGTCACTGAACACAAAGGATTTCAACCAAAAACACTTCTTACATTTAAAATTGTTAGTTTAGCCATTTCTTTTTAAGAAAATGGGAGATTGTGTAGAAAATGTCTGTAAATCCTAAACATATCATGGCATACTCTTGTTAATTAAAGCTGAAAGTCTGCACTTCAGTCACATCTTGAATGCTTGATTTAAATTTTTTTGTGTTGGTTTACAGGGGCAAATGTAGAAAAAAGTGTTGCTGTCTAAAAGCTTATTGAGCAGACTGTAGCTAAAGATGCTGTCTGGATGAATAATTATTGACTGACTGGCTGCAGAGAGACAAACATGCACTGAAACAGTTTTAAAGATGGGCTCTTTACAGTTATCTGTTCCTAATGAGAAACGGTGTCCAGGTCACTAGTCTGACACTGAGCTGTGTCGCGGTCTTGTGTGATCGATGGTTACGTAGTCTGTGAGCTTCGACTGTGCATCGGGCAACTGTTATGAACTCTCAATTCTACCAATGTGTCTCAAAGTAAATGCGGTGTAGAGTCATGTGGTAAAACGGATCCAGGGCAGGTTCGGGTCAGAAACAGAAGATCGCCCTGTGACTCGCAGCGGCAGCATTGTTGTTGTTGTTTGTGTGATGTCAAGCCTGCGGGGGAGTCTCGGGTGTTATTTTTAGCGGTGAAAGGTTAAACGGAGAAGCTCGACTGACTGAACTAACCGGATTATCTGCCATTCTTGTCTGGATTTCATCATAGTAGGATTCAGTGGGAGACGGGCCATCTGAGACAATTCACCAGTGACGCCGCAGTAATCTGGAAACCGGCATCCGCACATTTCTCCTCTGATTAAAATCAGCCCAAATCATAAGGAACTCCCATTTGAATACCAAATAATTTCACCTATTTTCTTAAAGTGCCTGAGACCTGACAGAGACTCCTGCTTATCTCTCCCTTTTATTTTCATTTTGCTGCCATGAATACAGAGCTGAGTATCAGCTGTGAATATTTCAGTATTTAATCAAATGTCAGAGTGCATTTAGTCTGAGCCCTGAGAGGAGGGTTTTTCTTTAAATGTAATGTGGTGATAAGCGGAGCTGGATTTTAATGTGCAAAGTGAAACTTTTATTAGCGGCTCCCTGAGAGCTCCTCGGCTTTATTAGATAAAACAGCTGAGGGGGATGGAGGAGAGATTGGCAGACAATGCTACAAGTGAAGTGTTGTCACTGAGAGCAGAAAGGCTTTAATGGACTCTGAGCTACTGCTGGACTCACTTTAAATGAACTACATCAAAGTCAAGCACAAAGCAAAGTACATGAAGTAAAACACATGTGCTACAAAAGCTTCAGAGTCCAGGTCAAAGCGCAACACGCCAAATAATCAACAAGAGTACCAGAATTTGTGCCTCAGAGGACCAGAACGTGGAGTCAATCACTTTGTTTTATTGCAGACCTGCAGCTTTATAATGAGGAGTGGATGGACTGAGTTTGAGTCATCGCTGCAGCCGCTGTGATGTCAGCTATTTTGAAGCCTCGGCCGAAGTGTTTTTGCTGAGCTTTTTGAAAGCAGGTGCCACGAGTCCAGAGTGAACGTGATGCTGCACGGTTTCCTCGTCCGTCCGCTGACCGATCAGGACTTTGATCAACAAACTGAGGAATGACAGCAGGCTGGCTAGTCGTACAACTCAAATATGCAGCTCAGCATAACAGAAACTAGTCCTTGTGTTTGACCTCAACGCCGTCCTGTTCAGTTTCGTATGGACTAACTTTGTTTTTAGGAGAGATTAGGTAAATAACATGAACAAATACTTTGCCTTTTATTTTTTCTTTAATATTTTTCTTATATTTTCTTTTTCTGTGTGGGTGTGTGTGTGTGTCGTTTCTAA